TAATAATTTCACCATGGATGATTTTTCAATCCTTTAGAGAGGGAGGTATAACTGGGTCGAGTGGAGAGGAGTGGGGAATATGACAGACACTTTTAGCTGAGTGCTATTTTCTTTCCTCTCCGTTTTACCATTCTGGGCAACAGCAACGCGTGGCCGGGTATAGCTAGTATCGCAATATAACACTATCGTCTGGAAAGACGGAAAGGTGCCAATGATGGAATGATGATGAGTTTTGAAGAAATTCATTATAATATTTAATTTTAACAGCAAGTTTAGTTACTTTCAGTCACTAGATTGTAGAAATTGACTTTAACTATAACAGTGACTTTAAATTTTATGAGGCACATTTTAACAGTCAAATTTAAAGGAAAGTTTGGTTAATTTTAAAGAGTAAACCACGAAAATTTACTTTAACAACGAGTTTCGTTGAATTCGATCTGGTAAGTTGTGACGATTCCTCAGAGTATTTCACTTATATTCTGTGCTCGTCTGCTCATTTGTTACACTAAGAGTTATACTGTCGTCCCCATTTGAGATGCAATTTTTAGTTATTTTAAAGGCCCTCTCTGGCTTTTGCAGAGGCCCTAAATATAGCCGCGCCTTTTATTTGGCATAAAAACTGAACGGGGTTTCTAGGACCTCTCTACAGGTGATCCTCATCCGCAAGGTGGCACCTTGTGTAACCGGGTGTTTGTCGCTTGATTTCCTAGTTGGGTGCAACTTACCTACCTACCCACCTACCGCACTTGCTGGTAGCAGGCCTTCTGCTAGTTTTCCCCCGAATCCTCCGTGGCGTTTTATATGGTCAACATGTTTCACTTTCTAAGTGAAAATGCGGTTTACTTGCTAATCTTTCTTGATGTTCAGAGCTTTTAGGTTGTCAGTATTTCAGCAGGGGAAACTTCCAGGTTATTATCGTACGAGTTATATGGAAGCCAAACACGAATGTCGAAGATCTGTTGACGAACTTCCCAGTCAAAGAAGATTACAAATACGAACTGGGAAGATAACAGTGACACACATGCACACGTATGTGTGTGTGTACGATGATGATCATACACAGTGTAAAATGTGTGTTACTGTATGTGTATGTAAGCATTTTAAGCATAAGTAGACAAAGTTTGAAAAAAATAATTTAAATAATTAACACTATGTACGCACGTGAAGCCACGTATGTGGGAAAGACCCAGAACAGAAAAAAAAAAAAAAGAAATGCAACATTCCTTCTGCCGTTTATTTACTTAAACTGTTTACGCACATAACCCTGTTTACACCACACATACAAAGACTGCTGTCTCTAAAGTGATTTAATCACACATTGACGATCAAGTTTAGTGCTTGTTTTCCACGGTGTAGACTTTCTGTCACAATTTTTTTCAGCCAGTCAGTAGTATGACCTTTGCAGAAGCTTGCTCCCATAACAACCTTCCGGAAAACTTCTTGATCACAAGCAAGATGTCCTGTGTCAGATTACACCGACCTGGAGATCATCCGCCACATTCTGCACCTATCTTTCCTTTGGCCTTCCTCTTTCTCCCTTCCCAAACATATATCCCTCCACTATTGTTCTCAATACTTCCGTGACGTTTTAAGTAACCAAAATATTTCAATTTTGTGTTTTATCGTCTTTATTAGTCAACCTTCTAAAATTTTCAGTTCTTTTTGTGAAACGACATTATTCTGATGGATAAAAGAAAGTCATACAACAAGGAAAATTTGGAGGCCACATAATAATCTTGTTCTTGGCAGTGTATACCGATAATTAATTTAAAGCGTTAACAAAAAAAAAAAAAAAAAAATTAAACCTTAGTAAGTTCATCCTATGCCATGGAGAATCATCTGTGTCAGATTTTGTTGAAAGTAAGCATGATAGAAGGTTGTGGATAGACATGACTACCAACGCCACACGGCAACGACTTTAAAGAGAAGAAGAAATAAATCGTGATAATTAACTTCAAAGGTAGCTTAGATTTCACTCTGTAAATCGTGCCAATTAAATTTAACCACAGATTTGGTTAAATTTTAGCCAGTAAATTGTGACGATTAATTTTAACATATGATTTTATCCAATTTTAATTCATCGTCAATCGTGACAGTTAACTTTAACAGTGAGGGTTAAATTGTAGTTACTAAATCATTACCATTTCACATTGGCGAGTTGTGTTTAAGCTATCAATAAATTATATTTGGTGCTGTTACAGTTCTGTGTCTCGTGTGGGTACCAGGCTGCATTTGAAGCTAATGACCAATCGACCCACTGACCCTTAGAAAGCATGTCGTAAAAATGATTTTCTGAAATTGGATATGATGGGTGGATAGGCACAGATATCACGACTTTGTTGTAAGCCACAGTACAATGTGACAACCGCCGAAGAAAGTCATAATTAATAATTATAACGAGTTATATTAGACTTCGGCCAGTAAAACTTGACAATTATTGATAATTGTTTTTAACTGTTCAGTTAATCGTGGCCATTTACGTTTATGAGTTTTGACCAGATTCATTATAACATTTAATTTCAACCGCAAGTTTAGTTACTTTCAGTCATTAGATCATAGAAATTGACTTTAAAAGTATTATTATTATTTTTTAATTTTATGAAGCACATTTTGACAATTGATTTTAACGGCAAGTTTTGTTATTTTTAAAGAGTCGATCACGAAAATTTACTTTAACGAATTTCGTTGAATTCGATCCGGAAAATTCTGACCACTAATGGCACAAGAGAAAAACAACCCCCAACCCCCAACTATGAGTGGGTACCAGGTGAAGTGAGAGAAGTAAAAGCGGCCGGCATGAGGCTGGCTAATTGACTCCTAGAGGCCTATAAAAATATGCGTTTAAGCTCATGAACCTAAAGCACCCCTGCGTGTGAAGGGACATTTACTTTTTAGTTTACCTTGCTCAGTGAACGGTCGGTGCTGCGTGCAGTTGTTGACATGAATGCACCAAGGTGACAAATTCGAATTCAAGCGTGCACTTAGTCCCCTTAGACGCCCTTTAGCGTACTGGGTTCAAAGTAAGGTATATGCCATCGGCTTCATTGCCTCATATGATTCGGTCTCTCTCCGCAGAACGGCTACCCACCCGTTGAGAGCATTACATAGAGCACTAGCTCCGCAGCTGTAGCGACTACCACTATGAAATCTTCATTCAAACAAAAACTGCGCTAGTGAACTTAACGACACAATCCGTGAATGAACCCAGAACCTTCAGTGCTCCAGGAAAACGGCTTGACCACTTCGCCATTTAGAAGTTAGTTCTAGTCACATTATGTTAATTATTAGTGGGCAGCTGGTAGGTCAGTGTGAGGGTCATCAAGTCCTAGTACATATTTTATGCTGGATGGACACAGGAATTCAGGACAATTTATGTAAATCCACTTGGGTCGGAATATGACTTTAACGAGATTGGGGTGACAACTACAGTGAGAAGAAGAGAGTTAAAGTGCTAAACAAAGCCTATGTTATTATATGCATGTGGAGTAAAGACACTACACAAAAGCTGAAAACCATTTACTCGCAGCGGAGATGTGGTTCTTTTGAAAAATGCGAAACATTTCATAGACTGATCAAAACAAAAGTAACAGTCCTTGTTGGCACAGATCAAAACCGTAAAATGATCTGAGAAATGAGACGCAGACAGTCGGTATTTTTCTGACTTGCTATGTGAACGAATGGGCTGGAGAACTTGGAAACTACTGGCAAAATGATAGACAGACAGCAGGGGAATGGCAGAGAGAATAAAAATTCGGATGTCTTAGCATTATGGATGGGTGAGATAGGAACAATGACGTGATCAACGATTTTAGCGATAGTGTTAGATGGGTAAACATAACAACCCACGATAATTATCATGGCACATTATGTGATAGGTGATCAGACTAGAATGAAAACTTGCTAACCAGAGCACCAGCCCAGCACCCATGTGTGATGTTAACAGTGAAAGTATACTGTTGTCACAAATCACAAAACAAAAATTAGATATGAGACATACAGTTGTCTGTCAGTGTCTTCATGCACAACAGACTGCATACCATGTCTTGCAAGACTGGTGAGGCTGGGAATCAGCATGTGTGGCCACAGCTAGTAGACCCGACAACTAAACTTTGGGGAAACATGAAAGAACCAGAGATGCCATTCCAGTTTATGGTCACAGTGGATGAAGTCCATGACTGGAGATCGATGAAGAAGTACTGTTGTCTAATGGCGTCTTTCTCGGCGTCTGTTGCTCAGGTATTGCTGCAACACTTCGTAATACCAGGCTGCCGAATCAATTCCGGCTGTGGCCAGTTTGACAGCAGACTGCCCTGAGTTGGTCTGGGTAGTGGTATGGAGGACCGTTTAGTAAGGAATGGCAAACTACTGAACATAAACATGGCATCTTGTGACAACAAACAGAAACCAACACAGAACTGGTGCCATGGGCCGCTACAGGCTGCAGGTTTTACTAAGGTCGGGATCCGATCACTTATGGACTGAATGGTTCGATTGACAGTAAGAATAATCTGCGGACTAACTAACTAACAATAAACAGAAAAAACAAACAAATAATGACAACATTGCTGAGGTTGATACTGCAGTGCCACGTAAAGGATACCCAGCTAACTTTAATTGTTGATTTCTGTAACTTCAACTTCTTGAAGTATCTAAAAAAAATCTACAGCTGTTTCTATTGGTTGTTGTGAGGAGCTGCCGACCGAGCTGTTAGAACATTGAACTCTCATTCTGTAGACCCATGTTCGAATCTTTAGGAAGATGATGGAAATGTTTTTCTGGCGGGGGATAATAAATAAATAAATTATTACAAGACCTAAGCTGCACAGTTCGTGGCAACTGCACAAGCAATGCAGCCCTATTTTCTCAGGGTTGAGAAGCCCCATCTTCGTCGCTCTAGACAACGGGTTAATTCTGGCATTAATGACAGTTTTCAAGAAATCATTTTTCCGAAAAAAAAAATTGGATAGCAACCTGCTCTTGCTCTGGGTAAACAAACAAGACTATGAGGTCAAATCTGCATCATTTCCGTCCAACAAATCCACGTGATCAACATCCCGCCCGAACCGACCTCCTCCAATCCCATAATCCCCATAATGCCTCTTTCCGAATCTGCCTCCTCCAAGACCGTAATCGTAGGACCAGGCCCCTTGCCGTTTGTGTACCTGCGCCAGCAGTTTGCCGAGATATCCACGCTCTGGTGATTCTTCCACGTCTACTATGTCAGCCTGGGATGAGTCCAACTGACTTGGGAAGCCCGCAGGAGCAACATCTGGGGTACTGTTTCTAGTGGCTGCATGCGGACTCGTGGATGTGCCTCGTTCCATGTCGCGAATTTTTCCGAGGAGGGTGACGAGGTGTTTAATATTGTGGTTACGAGTGCTGGCTGGAGCTGCCGAGACTGCAAGTGTGCAGAATAACAGGACGATGAAGTAGAAAATCTGTGACTCCATTGTGCAAGGTTAGGCAACAAAGATGACACTTGGATATGTTAGTTCTAGTTTAATGTTTTCACAAGGATTTGCTTCAGGCTGTAGCTGTTGAATGTTAAGCAAACTCTGATGTTCGTCGATGTGACAGGAAATTTAGATCGATGCTTGGTAGTTTGATGGACACACCAAGGACCTGAGAGAACAAGTAAGAAAGAATTGTGTCATACATAACCAGTTTTTCAGTAATGGCTTATAACTCTCGATTATACTGAGACTATCAAAGTGCGACAATTAAGTAATGAGACTAAGTCCATAAAAATAAAACTAATCAACAGTTGAAGATATAACCTGTATTTTATTCAAAGCAAGCTCCTTGTGCATTGATACAACGAGTGGCACGATTTAACAAACACAGGAACGACTTCTGTAGTTATTTTGTTATTATGATCCTTGAAGTCAATGTTACGGCCCTTTGGACGTCATCAATATCATCCAAAAAGCGTCCTTTCAATGCCAACTTAAATTATTTTGTGAAAGTAGTCACAGGAAGACAGATCTTGGGGAATATGGTGGATGGTTGAAAACAAGCACTTGTTTTGGGGCCAAAAATTCTTGTACAACTACCGCCCTTTGAACCGGTGCATTGTCGTGAAAAGGAAAGAAATTGGTGTTAAATACAAACCGACAAGCAACTTTTTTTCTAGCCTAAATATTCTACTAAAATGTTACGAATAGTCTCTGTATTAAAATTTAATTCATCTACCACTCACTAATCGCGCAATCGAACAACGATCTTCTTGTATCTATTCTCGGAATTTTGCAATGAATTCCTCACTATGAACCGAAATTGGGCGTCCAGGTCTAGTTGCATTAGTAATCTTTTCCACACCAATTTTGAATTCATGAAAACCAGCTGAAAATCTGTGAACGAGATAAACAATAATCGCTATAAACTTGTAGCATCAATTCAGCTGTTGCAATTACGCTTTTTCTAAGTTTTAAACAGAATTTAATGTCATCTTTTTTGTGTGTGCTCCTTGCTGATTACGTAACAATGCACCTCTGACTATGTTAACAAAATGGCGGCTTGTTAGTTGTCTGCTTATCGGGCGGCTATGAAAGTTGCCAGATCATAAATGAAGGTTGCCCATTTAGATTCCAAGCTGTGAATCACATATGCCATTTTTGTCTTAGCCATAATAAAAACAGGCTCATTACTTATTTGTCGGACCTTGTACATGTTATATATATGAGGAGTGCCAAGTCAAGAAGAACATTGGGAGAGTGAAAGTGACCCCATCACTTTACACATTATCCAGGGATGGGAGCCTCTTGTTTAAGAGCACAATTATATATACATATATAAAATTATATACACACCCATACGTACACACATACAAACGTTCATACATACACACATACATAAATACATACATACACATACATACGTACATACATTTTATGTTCGATGACACATAAGTTTTACATCATTCTAATTCAAAATGTTTAATTAATATTCTTATTCCTACACATTTGTTTAAGTAGGACTCTCCCCTTCCCCCACACTCCATCCTCCCTCCACCCCCCCCCCCTTTTTTTTTCCCCTTACCAATCATTCATAATTTCCTATTTCCATTCCTACAATTTTCTAGGGGTGGGAAAAAAAAGGGGGGGGGGGGGGGGTGTGGAGATCCTCAATAGTCCTGATCCATAAAAGAGGAATTACACTGACTGATATCAGTTATGGCCAAAACTTTTCAGAAATAATTATCAACATAATTAAAAAGTTCGTGGACAAAATCTCTAGATAGGAACATGTTGGTTTTCGACCTGGGGGAGCTTGGTTAGATGAAATATTTACCCTAAGGCTTATTTTTAGAGAAATCTGTAGAAAATAAAAACCTCCCCTTATTCTCAATTTCATCGACTTTATTAAGGCTTTTGATGGTTTACGCACAGCACCACTGAGGGGAATTTACGAATGCTTTGGTAAACCAACTAAAAAGAAATTATTAAAGCAATGAAGTATGAAGCCTGGAAATATGCAGTGCAAAGAGGTGATGGTTTAAGTGGTAGTTTTGCAGTTGAAAACTGCAGTGGAACGTGGATGTATTTTATCTTCTCTGTTATTTGATATAGCTATTGACTGGGATAAACAAATGTTGTGTTCGAAACACCGGCATTGACTTGACGGATAAGACACATTGGGAAGATTTAGATTTTGCAGATGATATTGTTTTGCTCAGTAAGAGATGCAATGGCAAGCAAAGACATTAAAAAAAAAAAAATGACGCAGCGAAAATAGCATCAAAAGGGGAACTGCAAATAAATTATGAAATGACAAATATATTGGACACCAATAATAAAAAATGCTGGGCTGAACTGCATGTCAGAAATGGAGGGGGTTGCTTGCAACAGAGTGGAGTGGTGGAGCCCCGAGTGATGTCTAACACAGCACACGAAACATGATGACGTTTTTAGACCAGACATCAGCAGCTTTCGGAGAGTTTGAACAAAATACGGAATTCTAAATTATACAAAAGTTTTCAAACCAGGTTATGTGTTTTCAGTTCTAAAAAACCCCCCACGTGGTACAAAAGTTTAAAGCATTTGAGAACAAAGTCTTGAGGAAAATGATTTATATAAGATGGGATGAATCAGAGACGAGCGAAGAAATAAGAGAAGTATCTGAGTAATCCCTGGTATTAACAATTATAAGACAGAGAAGATGTCGCTATATTGGACACATTCTGAGAAGAGACGAGCAGGGAATCACCAAACAGGCACCGAGGTAGGGAAAATGTGGGATAAGGGAAACGAGAACGCACTAGAGAAACCCTAAAAACGAAGGCTGATGAGAGAGGCCAAAGGTGCTGGACAGGGTTCCATCTATGATATCGAGGTGGTTGCATAGAAAGAGAATGGAGAAAAAGCTTGCGATGTTTATTAATAATAAACATATTTACAGAAGATGAACACTGTGTAAAATAGAACTAATTCTGGTTTTGTTGAAATCGAAATCTTTGGACCGAACGGCGCAGATATTACAGCCTAGCTGTAAACCACAATACAACGTGCCAGATGCCTCATTTGTAGCGAACGCAGGAGGTGACAATACCTGAACCTCTCAATCTGCAAAATAATAGTTTTAATAAACAGTAATGATCACCACCAAGTGCCGAGGCCACTGGCGTAAGCGATCTGGCGTCTGCATGACCATCTCATAGCACGTATCGGTTCCTGTGCTGACATGCCTCCATGTGATAACTTAGCAACTGGCGTGAGCCATCCGGCGTCTGCAAGATCATCTCACAGAGCATGTATCGGTTCCTGTGCTGACGCCCCTTCATGTCATAACAACAGGCTACCAGACATCTTCTCGCGCTGTCTTCCTCTGTCCATCTATTCACAAAACTTTTCAGTTGTCACATGTTCCAATATCTTTTCTCTCATAGCGTGGCCAAAATATGACTGTCTTTTCGATGTTTATTATATCTTCTGGCCCTCGTCATTTTTAAAAACATCGAGATTATTTATTTTAAACAACGAAGGAATTTTGAGCATCTTCTGCAAGCCACATCTGTGAGGTCTCCAGAAATAGGCAGTAATGCATCAGCTAATCCATAAAAAGTTACATGCGAGACAACCGCAACAAGCATACACTGACGATGTAATAACCGCATTATGTTCCTTGTTTTTGAAAAACCAAGCAAAGTCCATTTCCCAACTCTAGGCAAATAGTGTATATAGTGATAACGCTATATTTTTATAGACCAACCAGTGTACACAGTCAACATTAGACTGGTCGCCGATACTCTCCCAGGACTTTAGTACACATTTTAGGGTGGGTCGACCTGACAGGCATATTTTGAAAACGAAATGTCGACTCGTTAAGCATTCAAATCAAAGAGTTTAATCCAACATGACTCGGTCTCTGTCAGCAAAATGGCTACAGGGTGTCAAGAGCGTTTCAAAAAACACGAACGGAGCTCCAGCGACCATCGCCACGATCCCCACAGAAAAAGCACCCATAGACCGGACAATGCAGTCCGTGAAATGAACCAGCGGCCTTCGGTGAACAAGGCAAATGGTTGAATCCATTACCTATGTAAATTCCCCGATAACTGTTGTTAGTTTGGGGACATTTTCCAAAGTGAAATCTTGTGGAAGACCATAGCAGGGAGCAATTTGTCGGCTTAGAATTCAGGCAATATTAATATAAAATATAAAATCTTTTATGAACCACGTGAGTGGCTGGGGAGAGGTAGGGTGGGGGGCGGGGGGGGGGGGGGTGTTTTTTTATAGTTCGTTCAACAATAGATAAACACATATGCAAGCGATTTTCTCGAAAACTGCGGGTTATATAGCAATGATTTTTTTGCATTGCAGCCTTAGAATATCCATGACGCGAATAAACTATTTTTTTTTTTTTTTTCACTAAAGAAGAATATCATATGTAGTTTTGTTTTTTCCCTTCCTTACGATAAACATTTTTTTATCATGAAACTGTCTTGTTAGACTTTTGGAAGGCTTACTTTCCTTAGTTTAAAGAATTAATGCACACTATGACTACTTTAACAGGAGTCAAAGGAAACCACATGATTTCCCCGCGCCAAAATAAGACGTCGGTCAAGGTTGTTTAGTCAAAGGCGCATCCACAAATTAGTGTTGAGTTATTGTTTCCTACAGCTAGCTTATTAAAGCCAAAATAGACCAGCACGTCGTCAGGGAATCTAAGATCGGTCATTTATATTTGGACATTCATGACCCAGAAAAACGAATACGACTGGCGCTTGGTCTGGATAGAGCATCATTGAACCGTTGGATTAGACAGGACACAGAGTACGCTCATGTCAAGCAAGGAAGGAAAAGGAAAGTTGACGACTTTGATGTAGATGTCATTAGTCGTGACATCTTAAAAAATGTTAGAGACACATAAAATCGTTACTCTCCGAAACTGAAACTGACATAAACATCACAATGTAGTATTGATTTTTCACAAATCCTTCTAAAAAATAAAC